AGTCCATGCATATTGGAGGGTTTTTGCCTGTGATATAGCTTCCCTTGTCAAACTCTGGCTTTTAACTTCAAGTCTACTATCTCCCCCCAGCATTGGGACAAAATTGAATGAAAATAGACAGAGTAAACTTTTTACCTTTTCTTGTCTGTCTTTTTCTTTTTTGGTCTTGTCTGTCTTTTTCCCAATCTGACATCCATTTCTTTCCTAACTTTCATATCCCATTTCTTCTTTCCTTAACTTTGTGCAAAGTATGATATCACATTTTTATGCTTTATTGAGCTCTTATATCAACTTTAAACACAATAACCCTACATCTATAATCAACGGATAGCAATGGAGCAGACATCACAATGCTAGCATGTTTCTAGCTGGAACCTATTTTCACATTTGTGTAAATGGATAAATCTGCATCAATACAAAACTGTCACTTAATCCTCACTGGATGTTGTGTTGATAGAAGCTCCAAATATGTAACTGGGCTTGCTATTCTAATTTGTGCTTAAGAAGTAGAAATTCCATATGAATTGTGTAACCGATGCTTCTACTTCTGGGTGTCGCTCATCTTAGCTGTTAATATCCACTACCTTTTGCCTTCTGCTTGTGTGAGAGATATTTTCTTCTATTAAGTGATAAACTCTTTTTATTTTTTAAAGATATACTGATTTTTTTTTGAGTAACAGATAAAACTTTAAATTGGACTGCGTTGTTTTGAATAAATTGCAACTGGAATCATTTCATGCTAATTTTCATTGATAGAAATAAGGGATAACAAAGAAAATAAATCTACATGCAGAATATATGAAGAGAAATCTTTTTCACGTTATCATGCAAGTGGAGAAAATGTTGAACATATTTTTATATATTGATGCATTCACACAGGGAATGTCTGGTCATTCCTCCCTCCCTGGGTGGCTAGCGAACCCTTCACACCAGCATGGGCTGCTGTGTTTTTTTTAGGGCAAGCATCTTATAACTTGTCATGCAATTAATTATGTCGTGTTCTACAGATAATGTGATTTGAATTTCTATATTACAGGGAGGTTGAGGATTTTGCTAGGAGACTAAACTCTGATTGGCCAGAAAGAATGCAGGAGATTTTGTCCCTGGGTCAAGAAAGGAGGCCTGTACCACTATCTGTGAACGGGAATGGTTCCCTGAGGAGATATACTGGTAGGCTTTTCTTTTATATATCTTGAGCGGATGTGGTTACTGTTTTATGTTGTAATTCTGAACTGAGAGAAGTGTAAAGTTGGGTGAATATGACACGGAATAATCTTGCTGAACTGAAGTGATATGTAGTCAACGAATCATAATAGAGTAGAGCAGCATGTACTGGTTCAGATGCCAAAACATAGACTTCTTGCAGCTGACTTCATCTAGCTATGATTTTTTATGGTTCCTTAAAGATTTTCTCCCTTGACATAGAGGGAAGTGTTTCTATGTGTTGCCTTGTCATGTCACACTTGTTCTAACAACTAAAAACTAATGGTAATTGTTGAGAATATAATCGAGTAAATGAAAGTGTAATTTCTCGATTAACTTAAGCATTTAGATTGGTCACATGCTTCATCATGGTTTTAGAGCAAGCAGAGAGGTCCTAGGATCGAGTTTCACTGTCACCCTAATCAAAAAGAATTTCCACGTGTTTGACCCATGTAAAAGAATCACACACACATGAGGGGGCATGTTGAGAGTACAAGTAAATAAAGAGTGCTCTTTCTACAACCTAAGTTTGTAGGAGATAGTCACATACTTCCAGCGCACTATTCGTCTGTGGTAGGAAAGCAAACAACAACAGAACGAAACAGATAAACATGATGCGACTTGGTAAAAGTAAGGTCCTTCCCTGAAAGAAAGGATAAGAAATGTCTGTGGTGGTTGCCAGCTAATTAAGTAAATCCTACCTCCAATTTCTTGTTGGTTAGTTCTCTTTGGTGCTGAAAGAGCTTGCTTTTATTTGTCTCATGGGGTGTCTGAATCATTTTTGCAGGTTTGGACAGGAGATAATGGTTCAGATGGTGGATTATGAATCTTTTGGATTCAGTTGAGCTTAACATGCCAGCTTGTCTGTGTCTGCTGTTTCGAAAAGACAGTAAAGCTTCAGTGTTCATTGCTTGTAAAGTTCTTTCCGCTTATCTATCAGACCAAAGGAGTTTATTTCCACCTGCTGAGCTGCCTAAAGTGATTTCTGAACGTGGGGAAATGACCTGACTGGTTAAAGTTTTTGGGGAATTTCGAGATAGAAGGGAACTCTCTGTGATATGTGGTTTCATGGTAACCACCATTTCATTTGTCCTGCAGTTCCAGATACAAGTTCCAATTTTGCAAAAAAATCAAAATCTTAGATTTGTTTTCCTATTCTTCAATAATTTAGTTCAAATTAAGCTGTCGCTACTATTCGCTATTTATTTTTACTTCCTGAATGGTCTTTTCAATTTAATGTTTCTTGGATACAACCGTACAGGTGGGGTATAATATGAGCATTATCGCCATGAAATGGCTTAAAGCTGCAGGGTTCTATGCTCCAATTCTGTATCATCATGTAATGTCTCATGAAGTATATTTGTGTGTACCCTGTTGTAAAATTTGTGCCTTGGCATGAAATATCTAGTGAACTAAGACATCTCTTTCCGGTTCGAGATGGTGTTTATCTTCTTTTTGAATTTTCTTCTGCAACTGTAAAATATTTGGCTCATCTGACCATAATTTGAGTTTATACTAAAAAAATTCTGCATTGTAATTCACTTGCAAGTTTGCCTTTCAGATACTTACAGAAAGGTTCGATATTTGAGCATCCTAGCAAATAAATTTTAACAGAGTTGAATATTTGACATTTCTATATTTGTTGTTGGAAATAGGTGTACTATAATCTATCTCACACATAAATACAAATACTATGCATCTTCAATTGTTTTGTTTCCACATGTTACATATTGGTTGGAGTAGATTAGGGGTTTCTTTCAATTGTGGATATTCAAAATCTCATACTTTTATCAATTAATTGCACATTGTCATTTCAATTTTTATTATACTCAAAATTAGAAACACTCATTATGTAACATACATAATGTGAGTGCTGAAACAAATGAGTTTTTTTTTTGTCGGAAGTACAATACTAATATGGTTAAAAAAGTATCTTAACAATTTAATGTTCGGGAAAGTGAAAAATGAGTGCTTTATCGCTTGAAGCGATGCGAGTCTTCACAGACTAGAATGAGTACGTGAGCACTTTATCACTTAAAGCAAGCGTTCATCGCTTCTTGCTTTTTTCCGCTTCACACTTTCCTAAACACTGCTTAACATAAGGTATGCCCATTGAGTACGCTGTGTTAGAATTTAAAAATGTCAAAATGACATTAATTAGATAAATAGGTGGGTCATTGATTGATTTAAAAAAACAGTGGGTCATTGATTTGCTTGAGTGATACATGGGCTAAAGCGAAATGGGTTGAAATGAGCTAAAAATTGGGTTCATAATTTAATCTAGTCAATTTTTACCAAGTTTTAACTTTGGGTTTGTTTTCTTATAATTTATTAGAGCCACCTTAAAAAAAATATAGAGACTACTCTCTTATGACTATATATAGATCATATTAAATTAAAAATTGTCTTAAAATATTTAAAGTCATATGTTAATCTGAATTGCATATTAGCTCAATTTTTAAAATGAACCGAAGTAAACAGGTCAAAACCAAAGCATGTCAGGATCACAAGTAAGAGGGGGGATACATACCTCTCGAAACACATTTGACAAAAATGCATGTCTATGAAAAGTTTTGGCTTTATGGTTGCCTTGTCACCTTTTCACTGTGATATTTGATTTGGATAAATGTTGCTGAGAGATAGCTGTCAAAATCTTATTACTATATATCATTGATGTAAAAGAGCTGTTTTGGAGTTCATCGATATTGAAGTATAAAACAGATAAAGCTATTTTTACGACATATTGAGAGTCATGTAGTATCGTTAAACAATAATCTTCTAGCATTATCAGACAAGTCCAACATCTCTAACTCCGCTTTTGGGACAAACCAATGATAGTAAGTGTGGAAGTTTTACAGTCTATAGTCACCTCTTTCGGATCTATGCATGTCTTTTAGCCAACAAGGGGTGACAGTCACCTATTTTTGCTCACCTTATTATTTTACATGCACATAGTAATTACTTTTTTTTTTATGTATATATATATATTTTTCTGATAAATACAAGTTTTGTATATTCTTGTTTTGTTATGTTGATCTATTTTTGTATCCCAGTCAAAGTGTCAACGTGGGCTAGTTTTTATTACTGGATGCTATGATTTAACAAAATATTACATACAAATTTAGATTAGCTAGAAACATAATTAAAATGCTTAGCTAGAAACATAAATAGAGATCAATAAAATAAAAGGCTAAAAATATGTCCCATATTTGCGATTAGAAAAGTTCTCCATGATTGTTAATATTCTCCAATTGAATATTTTTTGATCAAATATCTAAAATTTTAGAGAAATAGTTCTATTTTAAGCTTTCAATAAAAAGATAGTGAAAGCAGATTTTTAGGACATTGCAGTTAAACGTCATTATGTTGAATATATTTTTGAAGTGTTTTTTTAAAAAAAAATATATATATCCACATCATGTTTCTCATTCATTTTATCATCATCAACGAGTTTTATTTTAGCTTTGCAAAGTTATAGTTTCCTTGAACTGGCCATTGCTTCTTTTTTTTTTCTTGTATATTTCGTGTTTTTTTCTTTTATTACTTTGTGACTCAAACTCATTATCATCCTAGCAACTCTCTCTTATTAGCTGGCCATTGCTTGATTTCTACATTTGAGCTTCTAAAGTCTTTGGTGTCTCCATTAGTTTTCGTAAAGCAAAACCAACACCAAGAGAGTCAAAATAGGTAATGTTGCTGAAACTGGAAGCTCAGATCAAAGCCTTACAAAGGAAAACCAGCTTCTAGGGACATCAATGGACAGAGGGGAGGAGTGAGGGTTGCCACAATCAAACAGGTATAATAAGAAAAATGAAACACCAAAATTATTGCTCTGTAATCTTTGGGATCATTTTCATCAATCCATACATTGGCTGAACATACAAGGTATCTGATGAGCAAAAAGGGAAACCCTGCCTCATTACAACAAAATTGTAAGGAGCACAAGCCCGGGCCAAAAAAAATGCTTTATTGACTCAAATTTAGAAGGGATGAGACAAGTAGCTACTTTTTTAGAATTCTCTTTGTTTAACACTCTGACAGAAGACCACTGGTTAAAAGGAACCTCTGCTGCAATGGCTAGGAACTGTACCATTGGGTGTGAGTAAGAAAGTTACCTTTCACTTCCTAAATGATGGGTTTTTGGCTTGAGAATGTACTTTATCTTAATACCCTTTTCAGCCTCTGGCCTAAACTTGACTTTATTTGTTCTACTGGAAGATGACTGAACAACTCCATCTTTTGGCAGCAGATCGTCAACGCTGGAAACAGCGGAATCTTCCCCAGAATCTGATGCTGGGGCTGTTACTGAACTGCTACTTGGCTCTTCTGGGCGCTCTGAGAACTTAGTGTCAGGACAACGCACTAACATGATATGATCTCCAGCCATAGCCTCCTTCCATCCTAAATTGTTGATCAAGTAAATCAGAAAGCAACAAGTTAAACTAAATTGCATTTCGACTCTGTGTTTTTGGTGTAATCAAATTAACTCTAATGGTACCATCTCTATCGTTGATGTCTTAGACTCATTATAGGGATAGGTCGGTATCATTAGAGTCTCCTTATGTAAATACAGGTTTCAATACAACCTATGTACTGTTCTGCAGAAATAGAAACAACTACCATTTTCAAAAAAAAAAAAAAAATCAGAATGAAAAATCATACAATACTTGAAGCTGAATGGTTGTGTTAGTGTGTGCATGTATAATACATAGAAACCAGAGAGCTAATAAAACATACTCTGAGCAAGAAAAGCCTTAGCCGCGCTAATTGGAAATTCCCAACCTTGATGTACATTTCCATCAGGAACCTGACAATTCTTACGAGTGCCAGAGTTGTCCATGGGACATGACTGCAAAGGATTTTCATTCAATGACGTCCGATCATCAAATTTCAAAGACATTGCACCCTCTTCAGGATCTGGTCTTCCAACTTCATGCCTCACAGGCCTATAAAGCTTGGCAGGTACTCTGTTTGACCCAATCTGTAAAGCATTATGCTTAGCTGGCTTCTCAACAATATTGCAGTTTTTAGGCATGGCCGTCTCTGTGCGTCCAGCTCCTGCTTCGACAGGGCAGTTTCCTTGTCGGCCAGTGCTCCAATCTTTCACTGGAATAGGTAGAGAACCAATCATCACTTCAGCATTCCTCTGCTTCTGATCTATTGCCTCTTTCTGCACCTGCAGTATTGAAGCACCATCACTTTCTACACTAACTTTTCTAGTCCATATCTTTCTGCTATTTACAGGGGAAACACTGTCCTTGTGCTTCTGTAAAGGTTCAACTTTTGCTTGATGATTTTGATTGCTACCATTTCGGCCAAACCTTTGCGATTTTGGAGCTTGCCACTCAGCATTGGCAGAAAGCCGTCGACTATTGGCAGACACTGGTCGGGGTTCACCATTATGAACTTTGACCGAATCCAGGTATTGGTGAGAGAGATCACGTTGGAATTCAACACTCATATCTTCATCGATGGAGAATTGAACCAGTTTAACACAGGTGGAGACGTTCAGAGATACATCAGGGTTATCATAATTGGAGTGAGATGGTCCTGGAACACTATGTACTTCTGCCAATGGAACCTCAAAACAATCAGCTGGTACCTCCAGATTTCCTTTTTCCTCATTTGATTGCTCCCTTGCTTTCTGTTCCTTTTTTCGAAGCTTTTTCACTTTTTTCCTCTCTAATAGCACATGTTTCCATTCACTATTGGCAGACACTGCTTGGGGTTCAACAATCTGACTTCTACCAAATCCAGGTGTTGGTGAGAGAAATCACATTGGGATTCAATGCTCCTATCTTCATTGCTGGATAACTGAACCAGTTTAAGACAGGCGGAGACGTCCAGAGATACATCAGTAATATCAGAATTGGAGTCAGACTGTCCTGAAACGCTATGAATTTCTGCCAATGGGACCTCAAAACAATCAGCTGGTACCTCCAGATTTCCTTTTTCCTCATTTAATTGCTCGCTTGCTTTCTGTTCCTTCTGTCGAAGCTTTTTCACTTTTTTCCTCTCCAGTAGCTCAGCTTGCCTAGCATATCACAAGAGAAATAATTAAGGAACTCCTATAATAACAATACAACATAGAAGCGGAAAAACCAAGATTCACTAAGATAAGAAGTGCCAAGAGTTTTAAGAAATTGGCAAGCTGAGGCCAGAGCCACATTCAAGCAAGGGGGTTTGTATCACACCCCTTGCTCAAATTTTTTACTTATTATACACGTATATAACAAGCCAAAAATAATAAAATACGATAAATATAAGGGTTGAATCCACTTGACTAGAAAGGGAAGCTGGGAAGCTTGATATAACCTATTTTTTATAAAACTTGAATCCCCTTGATGAAATTTTTGGCTCCGTAAGTTTTACATATTTGATTAACTAATCTTTTCATCTGAAGCAGATTGGAGACTGTAATGAATGTACAATTTCCTGTTGACTTTTCTCCCAGTGTCAGCTTTGCCCCATCCCCTAAGGGGTGAATGCTTCCATGGACTATCACTGTCCTGTCTTTATCTACTTACTTAACAAATGATAAAATAAGTCACTTCTAGCTGAAATGAATTGAGTTGTTTGACCTGTCAATTAAGATGCCATCATATAAACCCCCAAGCTCCACAACACTGTATTTTCCTCATTCGTAATTTTAAAAATTGACAAACAAATAAAATACAGAATTGTTTTCTACTTGTAGAGAAATCTGCTTCAAAGAATTAAGGGGGCGTTTGGTTGGGAACAAGTTATCCTGGGATTAATATTTCGGGATAAGCCGTCCCACCATATATATGGAATAGCTTGTCCCATTACCATGGTATAAATGATGGGATAAATAATCCAACGACTACCTAATACCTCCAACCGAATGTATTATAAAATAATCTTGCATTTTATCTCGACATTATTATATCTTATATCTCACACCAAACGACTCCCAAGAGTATAAACTGCACCAACACATCTTCAGAGTTATTCCAAAAATAATCAGGCCATAAGCATCAATAGATTTTTTTTAAAAAAATAAAATAAACACAACTTTATCAAGTCCTAACTAGTCATTCAGAACACAGGGGCAATGACGATAGAACATAAGCTCACCAAATACATGAAAAGAGGAGAATAGTCTCACTTTTTTTTAGCAGATTCTTCCTCCTCAAAAAGCAACCTTGGGCATCTCAAGGCTTCAGCATTTTTGTCATCACCGCATGCTTTAACCTGAGCATAAATGTACACCAGTTACTGTGGATGTTGGTTTGATGGACAGAATCAGGTAGAGCATTACAAAAGGGTATCTTCATCTACCAGACTTGCAAGAATAAAAATCAGATCTAAATCAAACAGTGTCATGGAAATAAATATGTGAAAATATGTAGTTTCAACTTTCAACACATGATTCAAAGGAGATAGAACTACCAGCTTCTGTTCAAAAAGGAAGCTAGTGCAAGCAACTAGATTCTTTGAGTCGAAACCAATTTTGTGAGCTTCCCCGTCAAAAACTTTTTTTTCCACCGACTCAGCTGTGCCAGCGCATAAGAATGTCCTCTCACTAGCATCATCAAGGATGCTAAATAATTCGTCTGAGGTCACTGGAAGCCTGGAAGGTTTAGCTTGGATGACTTCCTGCAAATTGATCATATTTAGCATCATTAGCTTCTCATATCAATTTGCTTTTGTCGTTGGTTTGAGAATACTAGGTAGAAATGGAAATAGAGAACTAACCAACAACTTTGAACCAGCCTTTATATAAACACGAGGAAGAAACCAAATGGCTGGTTTACCCAAAGCTGTTGTCAAGGCCTGAACAAGTGCAGATCCCGAAATTTCCTAAAAGAAACATGTCAATCACAATCTAACACTCTGTAAGGTGTGAGATGCGCTTTTTCTCGTCTTGACAGACCAACAGTCACTTCAGCCAATTTTTTATCAGTAGCTCAAAATAACACTGTGCTAGTCAAAAAGATTTCTAGCATAGTCACCATTTGTATAAACTCTGTATAGGTTGTTCAGATCAAAAGAAACCTAATAAATCTTAGTTCGAATAATCAATGACTTAAGCAAATTATCTCGGAAAAAAGGAAACAGAGACTACAGTCCAGTTTATGCAAACTAGTGGAAATAAGCTGTAATTTCTCGTAGAGGTTTTCTATCTTCTTTACTCAACTCCACATTATCTACCTGAACAGATTAGGAGGGACATATCTTGCAGCACAGTGTGAATAGCCAAGGTGATATTCTACTATCGTCAAACGTCCCTTCTGATATTTGTGGCTTTTATAGAGGAAGGCTGTTATACACCTATAAAATTATTTGACATTTATATTGGCTGGTGCCATAAAAAAATAACAAACTATTTAAATTTAAAATTTCAGAAGATATTCATATTTTAGTAATTAAAGTTAAAGAGAGCTAATACACCATGAAATATTTTTTGACACTTACAAAATGGAAAACTTCTGTCTAATGGGAATACAAATATAAGTTCATCTGAAGCATGTATATTCTTTGTCATAAGTGGTGTAGTGTATTAAATATTAAATATTAAATATTTGATCAAAATACTAGACCTATTATTAGTCAACAATAACAACAACATACCAGTATGATCCCACAAGTGAAGTCAGGGGGGTGGTGCCTATGCAGCCTTACACAGAATCAAATATGGAAAGGAAGATACAATAGTTAAATTAAATGTCTATCACTAAAAGTGGGAAACAGCAAAAAAAAAATGAACATTAAAATTACGTGGGAAATAGCAAATTAAAAATCAATTAATATTTGAGTGAGACTGTTATAGAGGGATAGTTTTACAAAGAATGTTGTTATAATGATAGTTGTAGCTGTTACAAGTAAAATGTTGTTATAGAGGAGGTAAAATATAATATAAAAAATTAGTTCCAAAGAAAACTTGGTTCTTATAGTGAAATACTGTTATAAAGGGCGGCTAGTATAGAGAAGTTTGACTTTACTCTTCTAGGGGCATTCTTCTACCTTTAGTTAATTCTACATTATCATCATATTTCTGTGTTACAATTGCAACTGGAAGAAGTCACTTTAAGTTCCATTTCAAAAAGACCCACTCCAAGTACTAAGTCAAGAAAAAACACATATAAGAGCAGGAACATGGAAAGCAATTACCTTTAGCGAAATATCTTGCAATGATACAACTTCCTTAACCTCGTCCGCCGAGAGCTGTATGTAGCGGCCATATAACAACATAATAAGTATCAAGGAATGGGTACACAAAAATAAGATCTAGGGAGTGAGGAAGAAGTACCTTGTCCCAAAAGGCTCCCAAAAAATCCCTGTATTTCCGAGACTCCTACAAAACGTAAATAAAACATAAGATTCAGCCCATGAACACCCAACATTGACTAGTAAATATGATATCAACATTTAGTTACCTAAACAAGAATGGAAATCCTATTGCAAGTGGAAATTGACATACCAGTGTTCTCAAAGACAAAAAGAGTTAATGCACCAATTTCTGCTAGGACTCTGATGTGCCTCAAGTTATAAAAGCTTATTCCAGGATGCCGAAATAAACAGTTAAAAGACTTAGTAACTGTCATGAGACAGTATGGGGTGGTTTTCTATAGGAAAAGGGGCAAGGCAGTTGGAAGAGGGTGTTGAGAAAATTGCATTAACATGTTTTTTTGTGTGTAAAGAAAGAGGGTATAGAAGTAGCAGAACAGTTGGTAGATTTCCTAGGATCAATGTAATTATGGTTTTAGCTTGTAATTTTTTGGAGGTAGCCAGCATACCCTTAATGCTGAAGAATACAACTTTAACTTTATCAAAAAAAAAAGAGGGTGTTGAGGAAAAGGAAAAGGGAACTCTGGGAGAGTTGTAGCCTCTCGAATGTCTAGAAAGGTTGTGATCTATTTAATCATAGGTTAATGTATCATATGACTAAAGTTCATTGATGTCTTAGGATGAAATTTATGGTGTTGGCAGTGTCCTAGTGATTTTTTTTAGAGTTCTGGATGTAATATCAGTGTATCTTTTTTTTTGAAACAAGTAACTTATAATATCATTGTATCTAGTGTGAAAAAACAGTATTTGTTTCTTTATTTACTATATCAGCGGTAAAGTCTATCAGGCTCTAAGCACAAAGGGCAATTTAAGTGTGCCCTTAATGAAGAGAAGTGAAAACGGAGAGTATAAATATATATATACTGCAAGAAACATTAGCTATAAACACAGATACAATTATACAGTTGAAAGATTGAAGAGTTGCAAGTGAATCATATGACTAAAGAAAATATTTTTAAAAAAAATAAAAAAAAATATTAATTGAGTTTGCAAGGCATTTTAAATTTCTGAGTTATAGAAACTTTTTTTTGAAGTGTCAGCTAAAACTGGTTTAAACCATATAATAACTACTAAATATCCAATATCATGTTTGTTCAAAATGTATCCTTTCCATTTAATATGTCATTCTTTCTTTCTGACTACCTATTGATTAGTGTCACTCCCATCAATAGACAATCATGGCCATGCTAACACCTTATAGTGCCCTTCACTAAAGCACCCCTAACAAGCACCATTTGCTACACTCAACTTAGTATTTGAGCAGCCCTTACATTAACTACACGTACACAAATGGTAAACCACCAAATCTATTCCGGCATTAAAGCAGATAACATAAAAGAAAAAGGCATCCTAGATATACCTTATCAGAATTTGAGGATCTACGGTGCAGACGTATATGTCTTCGGTGATTAATAGGTGAACAAAATTCCTTGGAACACTTCTCACACTTCTGCATCTTAAGGTTTGAAGAATTCAATAAAGACCATCCAGTAACACCTGCAAACAAAATAGAAGAAACAGAAGTCAATCAATATTCATGGTTTAAGCCACAATCCTGTATGCGACCTATTACAAACTGGGGAATCTTCATATAGACCTTTTCAGGTTACTTATTGGTCTCCTCAGCTAATGCATTAAGCATTGTGGCTTAAAGCAATTTCACATTCTATCACATATGAGCATATTCCAACCAGTTTTTCAGCGACTTGTTTAATATCAACTCATCTATTGATTCCGACATGATCCATATACTTTATACTAGGTTTTGAGTTGCTCAGGGGGAGTTAGTAGCCTTGTATGTCGATTAATGTGAGTCACTCTATGGTTTGAAGCAGTCTTTTGCAGGTTTAGTTTGAGAAGTTCAAAACTGGAATTTTATCACTGTGTTTACTGACATTATGCATCAAATCCAGTATTTAATGAGAAGACAAGCACATTGAGATTGACTATCAAATTTGTGAAGTCGACTGATCAACTAGCAGATATCTCACCTAGCCCCTCATCGGTCCTCGTGTTAAATACATTTGTAGCAAGCTAGGTACATGAATTGTACCACTAGCTTGAGACGGAGTATTAGAATAGGAATAGGTTTATACAATCCCATTGGAATAGGAATAGGTTTATACAATCCTATTAGAATAGGAATACAATCCTATTAAAATAGGAATAGGAATACTAAATAGTATCCTAGTTGGTAAAGGATTGTATTCTAGTGTCTATTAATAGGGTCTCAATGTAATAATGTAGACAGAACAACAATTCAATAATATTCTTTTTCTATATTTCTCACAATCCCCATAGTGGGACAGATGGATCCCTCTACTCTTTTTCAAGGTCACGGGTTTGAGCACTAGAAATGGAGAAACTCCTGATAAGAAACACTAGCATACTATGGCAATGGACTTTAGATACTGGATGGTTAAATCATTAAAAAAAGACATGTTGTATTCTATAAACACCAAGTTCTAAATTTGTTACCTGGCTGATCAATAGAATGAAGCCACTGCGTCCACTGAACAGGACCTATCCCCGTTCTTGGTAGGGGTTTCTTTCCCATAGCTTGCCTAATGAAAGAATCAAGCGAATTGTTCACCTGATCTACTTTTTTCTTTGCATCTGGAGTACCACCTGTGTTGAGCTTTGCCACTGGCATCTACACACAATTAATAGATCATAAAGGGAACTTCAGAAAATAATTTGACATACACAAATTCTTTTGATAAGGAAAAACTTGGGATATACAAATAAAAAGAACATATTCAGCAGCATGAGTTAGATAGATGTCTTCTGCATGTTTATCTTGTGCTCGTATAGAAATGTGTGTCCATATGAAGAAAAAAAAACTAGGCAAAATGAATGGGAGGACAAGAACTAGAAAGATCATTCTCAAAAAAAAAAATTGCCCAGAATATATAGCAACAACTGGAATGTAATGCTCAGAAGAAATGTGCATGATTGAGAGATATGGAGTCTGCTTGAACTACTTGCTAATGTGGAAAAATATAATAAGAATGAGAATTGTGCTGAAAATTGGTACGGGGAAGAAACAACACCTTCATTGTGAAAGACTGTTATCATCATATATGCTGTCAGAACCAGATCATTGAACTTTGGCCCTGGAAACTTGTTTGGAAGACCAAAAAATATCTACCAAGATCATCTGTTTTTGTTGGATTGCTCTCCAGGAAGCATGTTCAACACAAGATAATCTCAACGAAAAAGTCCTCGATCTGGATAATAAATGCTATATGTGTCAGAATAGCACATAAACAGTAAATCACCTGCTCCTTCAATGTGAAATGGCCAAGGTCCTATGTAATATGTTCTACTGCATTTTTGGCTAACAATGAGTCATGCCACATAATGTGAAAGAACCCTATGCGAGCTGGAATACATGGAGAGTTGATAAGTCCATCAAGCAAGTCTGGGTGATAGTCCCTGGAGTTATTTTTTGGTGTTTATGGACTGAAAGAAACTTAGATGTTCTGATGGGATCTCAACTCCAAACCACTCCCTTAAAGCTAGATGTTTACTTATGTTGTTTAGTTGGGTTAATTTAGCCCCCTGTATTTAGCACTGAACAAATTCTTGACTTTGTTAGCTCTCTAGGACTAGTTTGAAGATTGTAAAGGAGCTAACAACTTTTGCTTATGCTCTCCATGAGCCTTTTTGCCTATTATTCTGCCATTTTGCATCTGCTTGATGATTTTTGATGAAATACCTTACTTCATCAATAAAAAAATAGAAAGGATTTTACAACCCATAACTTGGCCTACTGTCAGGAAGAATAGTAAATAACATAGCACATGTATCAATAGATGTTGATAATTAGAACAAACAACAGAATTCTGAAAAGAACAAATTGAAAGAGTCAAATGACTGGGCATATCTACAATATCCAATCATCTGGAGATTAAACTGCTTATAAAACTCTAAATTTGGAGACATGCTATAAGTGGAGTAAGGGGAATTAAAATATTTCTTGAATCCCATCATAGATATTTAACCACAATTCATGTGGATTTTGTAGGTGAAACTTGAAGATCTCTGTTGCATGAATTTGGCTTAAGTACGTGTCACGGGTTAAACTATGGGAGCAAATCCTCTACCCTGCTCCCTCTGCCAATTTGTTACTCTGGAGGTAAAAGTCACTCAAGCAATGCGTCTTCATTTCGAGAAAGTGCAAAAGCTAATTTCCCCAAGTCACCACTGACCCAAAGACGCACAAGTTCTTGGAGGTTCTTTTGGATTGCCTTAATAGGCTATACTAAATAAACCCTAGCAGTGAAAGTACAAACAGGCCCTGGCAGTAGGCTCGCTTGCCTAGTGTTGAAAAACTTAAAGCTGGCTTGTTCATTTCACATTTTAATCTACAAGTAATTTGGTCAAATTGTATTAGTTACTTGTCTTTCTTCTTCGTTCACGAGGAAAAAACCTCTCAAAAGCAAAGAGTTTGTCATGTACCAAGCAAGAAAAGCTACACAAAGACTCAATCCTACGTAGTATACATATAGTTTGTCTGAAGCAATAGTAGATTGACTATTAGTGACTACTACTAAGCATTCCTTGAACAATCGGATGTTAATTTGCTTGTTACATTGATAGTAAAGTTTACACCAATCCTCCGATCAAGTTGATATTCTGTGAACTTAGACTTGTGTATGTACCAAAGGTGAATGGAATGAGAAGAGGAAAGAAAAAGGCAAACACTTTAGGATTAGCAACTGCTATAAAAAAAGTAGTGTTTCTTAGAAAAGGAGGTTTTCCTAATAACATCATAAATTATGTCAAACTAAAATCCATCTGACAAGCCAAAGAGGTATTGAAGCATTTAAGTCTAATCTCAACTAAATCCCACTGACTCAGAGGTGTATTAAAGAATTTGACCTATCCTTCCATTTCAATTCAAGTCCCCATATGCTCCCAAAATGGATCAAAAGCTAGATAATGAATCCTTTAGCAAACACGAATGGAGGTCATATCCCCACTAAATACCTGATATGCCAGCTCTAACTATCTAGTTCCTAGAACGGTTTATTTTATATTTTTTTCTCAAGTTCAGATTTCCTCAAAGATACAATTACTAAATAATGGTATACACGTGTTTACTATATTCCAGAAGATAATGCCAATGCAAATCTCACTTGGAATATCTCAATGATAACTCATAAGTTGGTAGAAATTTGTACAAATGCTCCAAGACGAAATTCAACTAGATCTCTACTAGAATGCTAAAGGAAAAAATCTTCATTCCATTATCTTAAAACAAAAAAAAAACACAAAGTATTGGTGGCAAAGCAGCACACAAGACCAAAATTTTTGATAGTGTTGGCATCACAAAATAGTTGATTATCTGCACTTATTATACAACAAGAAGATATGTTTACTTTGAATCCCTCGATAAATAATATCATTCTCAATTCAAAGGTTACTAACTTATTTCCACCTGGTCCATGACTATTATCTGTATAAACAAAGCTGGTCACCTTTTTTTGTTTTCAAGTAATAATTTCTTTTAAGACTAAAGCTTGTTTGGTTTACTACCAAATTCTTAGCTAATTCCATTAAAACTACCAAGCAATAAATCAAACTGCATATACAAGAAACATGTTGAACTGATTCTTGAATATTTCCACATTTATATAGAACAGACATGCTATTTTAAACTCCAATCTACTTCAAACCTAACAAATACTCATAAACAAAAAGCAATGTTAGTATTTTTGGCATACATAGATCATCAAGAACACAATAACCAAAAATTGCTTCAACCAATGGGTCAGCCCGCACCCCACCCCACCCCATCCAAACAAAATTCTACACTCCAGTTCAAATAGCACTCCTCCCTTTTTCATCATCCAAAAAAGATAAGACATTTCACAAATTTACACCTAGGACAGGTCCACTATATATATACTAAAACAAGTACTTACTATTTTGGTACTCAGATTCTTTTCTAAATGCATTTCAATTTTTTTTATGTCTTTCCCAGTGACTCAGATGCTCTACAATTTTGATTCTTTTTAAAATGTCTTGCCCAGTGACTCAAATGCTCTACAGTTTCGATTATTTTTAAAATGCCTTGTCCAGTGAAATACCCCCAAATCATTTGGGATCAAGGAGTAGTAGATACACTTATAATGAAGAAGCCCAAGAAGCAAGAATTTAATAGATGCATATCCATTGAACAAGCAATAACTACAAACAGAGACATATCAGATCATCCAAAATTTTTGCCTACAATGATTTGAAATGAGGTGATCAGTGATCGGAAAGTAGCATATATGATGTTAAAGAAGAAGGAGAAAGGTGACATATACCAGTCCAGTCCAGTGTGGTGTCTGAGAAGAATCGAGAGATCAATGGCGGTTAAGAAATTAAAAGACTGATGAAGATGAAGAGAAGCATTTGTCTATTTATCGAAAAAGAAGGGAGTGATAGAAGAAATGTTCAGAGAAATGGGGAGGTACAGACATAGACGAAGAAGAAGAAAAAGAGTGCGTATAACAAGGACAACAAAATACGTGGAAAATAAAGGAGAAAATAGAATCTCTTTTTTTTTCTTTTTTAATTTTGGTCTATATATTTTTATTTATGTACAACTTGATTTTTAATATTTTACATTTGTTTTTTTTATAAATAATAATAATAATAATAGGGGTTTGATAAACCAATATGAGTATTTGAGGTTTCATTTTGTTTACCGAAAAATTGTTGTTTGGTTAGTAAAAAGAAGTTCAGATTGATCAAATTCATTTTTTAGGCTTAAATGTTAAGGTCATGATTAATACAATTTTCTTACAAGGAAAAAAGAATATAAGGGAAGGGGAGAGTTCAACATTTTTTTCATAGGAATTTTAAGAAAAGAAGAACAAAAGACAAATATGATATTGCTTGGAATTTTCATTGATCTCCTTACCTCCTTTTATAGGTTACGAAAGTTAATTGTCACGTCAATGAGAAACAATAACTTATTTGGTGCTAAAAAATTACTTCATAGCGCGCTCATATATTTTAACACTTCGCCTGAAGCTAATTGAAGTAAACTGAGTATATCGTAGTTGACCGTATCATGGGTTAGTCCATACTGCACGAGTGGACTACAACTTAGTCATGTCAAAAGACCAACTTAAGAGTGAGGCGAGCTAGAAGGGGTTGCTACTTAGGATTCAAAGATCAATTACAAATTACCATACGTATGGCAGATTAAACGAGTGGTTTGAGCTTAATTTTGAAATTATAAGGTTTATTATGAATAGAATTGTCAATAAAGGCTAGCCCGCCCCATTGTGTTAATCAGTGCAGGCTTGACATTTTACGGGTCAGATCGGGCTAGCCCATTTTTTGTGTAAATCAGAAAATGGTCGGCCCAATCCACAAGTATGTGTACTACAGGCTTGCTGGGCTAGCTTACTTTTTTTAAAGGAAAAATTACATGAATTAGTACATTTTAATAAATAATTACTGATTTTAACAATATTTTTTTATTTATTACCATTTATAGCAATATAAATTAAAATTGAATTATGTATGCTATATATATACGAATTATAATTTTTTTTGTAATATATTATGTTTGTTTGATAAAAATTTAATACATTGTATTTTAAATGTATTAAAATGTGTGATAAATGTATTATTCATCATTGAAACTTGTATTTTATGTGAATAATAAATTCTTCTTTGCAAATATGTATTAAACTTGTATTATAAATGAATTACAAGTGATCATGTGAAAAAAAGATGGTATTGCTATAAATGGTAAATACTTTTTTATTATAGTATATTTATTTGTCCTCTTTTCCAATAATATTTTTTTATAATTATTAAATTAAATTATAAATTATAATTTTGAAATATTATCATAAATATCGACAAAACAATATTATATGATGTTAATGTTACTACTTATTAATCAAATTCATAAATAAAATTATCTTTATAAAATATTTATTAAATATTTTTTTTCTAGTAAAAGTATAAATATCTGAATAGAAATATAACCTAACTGTTTTGAGTTTGGACTCTCTTTAATTTTAAATTTTAATATTACATTATATTTTTTAAATTAATTTTTATTGGCCAATGAGTCTGCCTTACTAATATTTCTCTAGCCCCACAAATTAACAAACTTATTCGAGATGCCCGATCGTGTAACAGTTTAATGTAGACAGTTATCGAGACCTTTTATGACGTATCAAGAGTCGTGTCTTTCATTCTTTTCAAAATTTAACAAATCTTCCTTCGTACTTTATTTTATCAGATATCATGATTCAATTTATTTTTTTACTAAATTTGAATTTTTTCCTTACAAATTTAAGCTAATTTTGTCTTAAAAAACTAAAATAATTGTGTTACTCTAATTGTTTTATAAGCAAACATTTTTATTTGTCAAAGTAACATGTATAACTCTTTTTTCTTTTTTTTTAAATAATGGTCACTTTTGAATATATGCTCCCACAAAGTGTTCTCACGACATTATATCAAAAAATTCTAACATGAATATTAAAGAGATACGTTTTTTCTATACATGATAAAGATAAAAGAGATCAAATATCATGAGTTTTGATATACATGATAAAAAATAGATATAAATTGAACTATCCCACGTAAGAAATATCAATTTTACTTATGAATTATTTTTAAGAAAGATAAAATTTCACTTTTATTAAAAATATTTAAGTGAAATCAAATATAGTTATAGAGTTATTGTCTCTAATTGATATTGTCAAAAGAAATATTTGATATGCAAAATGCAGGAAATTATTTGATCTATATAAAGTCGTATATATCGTGTTGAAGTTATGTCAAATTATTATACAAGACAATTAAATTGTAAATGAAAATATCCACAATATGATTGTTACTATGAACAAGTCCAACACACAATTTATATGCAATAATAAGGTCATGAATAAAGTATTTTTCCCTTGATCAGTGTTTTGTTTCACTAAATTTTCCTAATAAGATTTTTAATGACGATGCATCAAATAATGCGTATTAAAAGATATGTTATCCATTTTTTCTTCACTAGAATTTTTTACACAAATTTTTCGTAATAAAATTTTAATAAGACATATTATCTATGAACATCTAAAGAAAAAGTGTTATAAAAAATTAAGTGTGGAGAACCTCGAGTAGATAACCTTTACTTTTATGACCTCACACCTCCTTAACCTCCGTTATTTTTTATGATTGGTGTTATGTTTATGACTAATATTTTACATGTCTATATGTAACACTATAAAAGAGCCATAAGGGTTTATACACTTGATGATACTTATTAGAAGAATAAGAAAATTCTCCTCTCTTGTCTCTTTGTTTCTGTTATTGTTATCTTATTGATTTAGTTTTACAACACAAAATATAGTTTGACATAATACATAAATATAACTTCAAATTGACATTACCTAACAACTACGACCTTTGATTTTGAGTATGCACAGGTAAACACTTAAATTAGTACAAAATTGAACGAATAGACACAGTCATCATACATGACACCCTACATGACAATTTTATGTTCTACGTGTATTATTCAATATAAAATGTATCTACATATTTAATTTAATACAAACTTAAGTATCTAGTTGTATATACTCAAAATTAGAAAACATAGTTGTTCGCCTGCTTCAGGTTAATTGTTATATAATTTCTGGGAAAAAAGAAACAGAGAATAGAAAGGCATTTTAATAAATGAATATAAAAATGTTGGGGCTAATGTGACATAAATATGACGAGTCATCTATATCAAAACAAGTGAGCGATACATTTATAGAAGGGCTTAAAATACTTGTTTTGAATGAATTGAAATGCAAGTTTAAAAACTTGTCGAGCCAAATATACAAAAAAAAAAATAAAAATTAAACGAACCCTCATTGGGCTTCTTTCTTAGTGCGAGCCCAAAACTGTGTATATAAAATGCATCACTCTCCCGAAACCCTAATTCCTCTTTTCACAACCCTATTACGTCGGAGCAGATCCAACACATTGAAGAGGTAAGTGTCACTCGCCGACCTCTCTTCCATTTTCCGTTGCGTTGAGCTTCCATACATATTTTCCTCTTTTTTGTTTTGAAGTTACGTAAATCATCGGTTATTTTATGCTTATACAAACCAGTAAAGGAGAAAAGTTTGCAATTTCCATTTCTCAGATGTTTTTTATCATGAAAATTTGAATTTCAATTGTATTTTTTTCTGTGTTGTAGAAAATTGTGATTACTTTCATTGTCCTACTGTGGCAATGCAAATTTGTGATTTGTGGTTGTATGTTGAATGTGATTTAAATAGGTGATGGCTCCAAAGCAGCCGAATACAGGGATATCTGTTGGTCTAAACAAAGGCCATGTTGTGACCAAGAAGGAATTAGCTCCACGCCCTTCTGACAGAAAAGGGGTGAGTGATGTTTTTTATTTTGCCCGTCTTTGTTTGTTGATTGCTAGTGATATCTGTTTGATAACTTGAGCTTGTATTGTTTGGATTTGAATCTATGTGCACATTTTTCATGGAGGACAATTTCAGGGAATTGGGTTTTCTGAAATAGTCACCCAAATGTCTTTTATAGGTGTCTGTATCCCCGTTTCTTTTTGTATCACATTGAACACAACTCTTTGCTTTATAGCATAGGGTTCTCTATTACCTCCTGTTTATTTTTGTGATGTTGGAAAAGTCAGATGCACATGGTTTTTGTTGTATTAGAAGAGAACACCACTGGCTATGCTGTTCTTGTAGTTGTTAGAAGAGAGGGATGTAATTTGGGATTTTGGGAACCAATACAATTTATTAGGTTTGGAGTGGAAGTTTTGAAGTTTTAGGAAGGGTACACTCCTGACATTATGACAGATGCGTGTATTCTTGTCCTAGAATGGGTTGATTGAGTGTCAAGACAAAGATTTATCCCTTTGAGAGTAAAGAGAGGTGAATAGCCTCATATATTCCATAGATTATACTTTGTAGGCTGTTGTTTTTGGGATGCCCTTCATGTACCGTCTCTTACAAAGATATGTTTTTTAGCATGGTGCTTGCAATCTTACGAAGTATGTTTTATCACAGTGCTATTATCGTGGGAAGGAGGGTTTAATTTATTTAGCTGGTTTCCTGCATGCAGTTTCCTAATTCTGATTTGGATCTGTGTACCCTGCTTTTGCTTGCCAATTGGACATGTTTTACTTGCATCTTCGTAACACATCATAATCTGTTCTTTCCATTTTCTTTGTTTTTAGAAAACAAGCAAAAGAATACACTTTGTGAGGAGTCTTATCAGAGAAGTTGCTGGATTTGCTCCATATGAGAAGAGGATCACTGAGCTTCTCAAAGTTGGAAAGGACAAGCGTGCCTTGAAGGTAGCCAAGAGGAAGTTGGGTACTCACAAGAGGGCAAAGAGGAAGAGAGAAGAGATGTCTAGTGTTCTCCGCAAGATGAGGTAATGTCTTCATTATTGCTTTTAATGATTAAGTATATATCGAGGAAGATGGTCATTACTATTATTTTCTTGCCGAAGAATGTTACAAGTCATTGCCACTTATTGCATGTTTCATTTTTTTTATCTTTTGGATTTTGTACAGGGCTACTGGAGGTGGTGAAAAGAAGAAGTGAGGCCTGTATCCATCACTACTGATGTTTGAAGGACCCAGTTAGTTAATTCACCAGCTTTTACGTGTGCAATGTATTTTTGTTTTCAAGAAAGAGGACTTGTGATCGAAAAGTTCCCTGTTTATGTTCGATGAATATTTTGGAATTAGTGATTCTTTAGACATTTTTGCAAATTGCGTGCTTTTCTGGTATTATTTGTGTTGACTATCTGCTTGATCTTTGAAATGACTTGGGCCAAGAAATTTGCCCATGTTGACAGGGAAAAGGAAACAAACTTTTGACAGTTAACATGCTGTTGAAATATATGTGCTTAACATGTGTACATCTTTGGGGTAGGACAATCAATTTGGTATTTATAAAAAGTCAATTGGACATCTTTGCTTTTGTTTGGAGAAATGGAAAGCAGGTAACATGATAATCATATACAATACATGGACAATTTGATACACAAAGAGTCGCTCTACAATTAATTTTAGGCACAATAATACAGTTGGGAAAACAAGCCACTGCCTTTAAACTTTGGCTGAAAGATGAAATATTTCATCTGCAAGCACCATTGTGTTCCAAATATGGTGTCTCCATCACTTCAATTTATAGAGGGCAAATTTCCTTAGTATATGAATGATTATTTTGGTTTGTACAAGATTGATACAAGAACATGTAATACTGAGTTCAGTCACGCCTTGAATATCTGTGATACTCTTTCCTTGCAATTACCAGCAAAATTGTTACATTCCATCCATGAAACCTGAGCCAATATCAACTGCTCTATGTTGGATCGCTTGTTGACGGAGCCACCCATATGGGACGTTATCCTTTAGCTCTGCCATTTGTGTGTCTGCTTTTCTGTGCCCATTCCTTGAGCACAGATATCAGAGGGAGTATCTTTTCCATTATTTGATGAATTGTCTTTTTTGATTTCGCTCTTACAGTATCGGCCATTTCCTTTTGAGCTTGTCCATCAAACTTTCAGTTCTATTAACACTCTCTTCAACTAACTGATTTCCAGCACTGAGCCATGTAACATCAACATTCAAATCTTCTTGTACATTGACAACTACCACTTTGTTGATGCCTTGCCTCTGCCAACGGTGTCTAGTCGCCTCCAGTGTTTTTGCTCGCTCTCTAGCTCTTTTAGCCTCACCTTCAGCCCAAGCTCTGGGTGCAAGATTAAAACATGATGAGCTAAAGGTGAAATGCAACTGAATATATTTTTAGCATTAGTATGAAATTGTTGAACCAAATAAAAGATAAATGAAATGTTTCAACATGAAACATGCAAGTGCAGAGTATCAGCGGCTTAAATTATAGCCAGGGCCACTTTGCCCATTGTCAGCTATCTTTAACAAATGCGACCAGCTTATACATTTGACAAAACAAAATTCAAGTTATAAGGTTTAGAAAAAAGGACCAGAGGAGCTAGTGGTGGCAACATCAGGAAAGAAATTAAATGAAGAAACTTTTGGTACTTTTCTCATCTTTCCTTCACCAGAAAGTGTATTCAAGCAGAACGACTCTCACGTTGTTGCAACTTCCCAGAAATCTAAATGTCACTAGATCACATAAGGGATTTACAGCTAGTAAATGGTAGATGACCAACTGGAACATACAGTGTGATTGATTAGTTAGCCAGGTAATATACTCACCTTACTAGAGCCATGAGCTGTCCAGGTATTAGAGAAGAGAACTCAAGCCATGAAAGTTAACAATATGTTTCTTACCTAGCCATGGATATTGCTTTCCTTTCAACCTCAAGCTCATATTGTAACCGTGCAATCTCTTGGTTTTCCATTTCTGCATCTCTATGAAATTTGCCAAGCCTTTCCTTTTTATATGAGATATCTATTTTGTCACTCTTAAAGCTCTGCAGTTGTTCCTCTACCTCATGTCTGAACCTGGAAAGAACTTCCAGTTCTGAATCAACAGCAGCTCGTTCCTTCATAATTACAAGATGCTCTGCTTTGCGCTCAGCTCTCAAGCTTTCCAACTCTTGCCTTGCTTCCTCAGCCAACTTCTTCATAATATCAACCCTTTTCTTTTCCGATATGAGTTCCTTCTCAAAACTTGCATTCACATCTTTCTCAACTTGAGCTTCCAGAGAATTATATGATGCAACAGCTTTTTCAGCAATTGACTCGGCCTCAATGCGCGAAAGTTCCTCAACAATGGTATCAGAAGCTTCACCAGTTGCTAGGGCAATAGCGGCTTGACCTTTTGTCACAGTTTTATATGGCTGGAAGAGTCTTGTAAATCCTGTATTGATGATAGGTCGGCAAATAATAATACTTTTCATTTCTCATGAAAAAGATGATTCATGTCGGAAATGATTGCAGTGAACAGAAGTTACCAAATGCAAGGGCTGTTATTCCCCATTCACCTGATGACAAGTCAGCTACCAGTGCTGGCCATGCATCTTATCAGTATCTATCCATCCAGAGACCTTCTGCAGGGACTGCCCATAAATAAGAGAATTGTTGCACCTACTGGTTAGTCACTGTTATGTGTCATAAACATGTAAAACCAACATTTCTTATCGATTTGTATGCAACCTTCTGGTCAACTACTGGAAGCTGTCTTTTCTCTAGGGCCATCTTCCAACTGACAAGATGCTGACGTGATAAAGGACTGCAATAAAAAAACTTTAATGTTATAAAGGAACCTGATTTTGGGAACACTATTTGGCCTCAAAACTATATTAGCACTGACATTGTCACGACCCAAAACCGGGCCGCGACTGACACCCACACTTACCCTCCTATGTGAGCGAACCAACCAATCTAAACCTTAACATTTCAATATAATATCAACAGAAAGTAATGCGGAAGACTTAAACTCATTAATAAAATCAATAACTATTATTATCCCCAAAATCTGGAAGTCATCATCACAAGAACATCTATGATCGAATTACTAAACTAAGAGTATTCTAAAAGCTAAAACAAATAAAAGCTAGTCCATGCCGGAACTTTAAGGCATCAAGACATGAGGAAGAAGATCCAGTCCAAGCTAGAAGCATTAGCTCACCCTGAAGATCCGGTGTGACGAAGACTGGCTAGAATTACTGTTGAGTTGAAGACGATGGCACGTTTGCTGCACTCCACAAATAACAAAGAAGAAAACAATAAAAGTAGGGGTCAGTACAAAACACGGGTACTGAGTAGATATCATCGGCCAACTCAAAATAGAAAACAATATATACCAAGTAATATCATAAAATCAACTATGATACTCAAGATGTAGCAACAACAAGCACTATATCATTTACAATTACCGTCAAGTTCACACATGAGGACTCAAGCCTCAATACCATACTCATTTGGGAATCATGTTCATTAGATTGAATATATTAACATCTTTCAAGATTCATTATCTTTATTTCTCTTGTGTCGGTACGTGACACTCCGCTCCCTCATATTCATTAATCCTCTTGTGTCGGTACGTGACACTCCGATCCCCTACCACTATGTGTCGGAACGTGACACTCCGATCCCCTAAATCTAGGTGTCGGTTCGTGACACCCGATCCCCTAAATCTACGTGTCGGTTCGTGACACCCGATCCCCTAAATCTACGTGTCGGTTCGTGACACCCGATCCCCTAAATCTACGTGTCAGTTCGTGACACCCGATCCCCTAAATCTACGTGTCAGTTCGTGACACCCGATCCCCTAAATCTACGTGTCGGTTCGTGACACCCGATCCCCTAAATCTACGTGTCGGTTCGTGACACCCGATCCCCTAATCTCATTCTATCAAGTCGTCAAGCCTTCTCTTATACCAAAGCATCATCAATCTCATTACTTTAGTTCATCAAGCCTTCTCCCTTACCAAGGCATCATCATTAACAAGAGATTAGGTTTTTATCAAGATTTGAGATTCAATAGCTTCATCATGCTTAATATAATCACAATTATATAATCACGTTCATGCAAGCATACAATTAAGCACATAGCAGGTTTTACAATACTATCAATACATATCATTCGCTATTAAGAGTTTACTACGAATAACATGAAAACCATAACCTACCTCCACCGAAGACTAGTGATCAAGCAAGAATTTCCCAAAGCCTTGTGTTTTTCTTTCTTCCTCGTTCGATTCTCCCTTTCTCTCTTGTTCTTTCTATTTTTCTTTATTCAAACCTTCTTTCTTTTACCCTAATTAGTATATAATTAAGAATAAAAGATGGCAATAATAACCCACTAATTGACTTAAGGTTATCTCTTTTATCCCCCAAGAAATTGAGTTATTAATATAAACCCATGAAATATATAATTATAGCAGGAATAGTCCAAAACGCCCCTTTAAAACTTAATCAGAATTCCGATTCCGATTGGTATTATGCAACCTGTGACGGACCGTCGTGCCTGCGACGGTCCGTCCTGCAGGTCGTCGCAAGGTTCAGAGAATGGATTTTCACTGAAGGCTCTGTGACGGTCCGTCACGCCTGTGACGGTCCGTCCTGCCATTCCGTCACGAAGTTCAGAGAGTCAATTTTCAGTACCCAATTTCAGATTTTCTAAGTGTTTTGAAACGAGACCCTGCGACGGTCCGTCATGCCCATGACGGTCCGTCGTGGGGTCCGTCGCTTCTGCCAGTTTTTCCAGAATTGAAATCTGTTGCTCAAAACGACTAAACAGGTCGTTACAGACATGAAGTTAGCCTGTAAGAATACCAGGGTCAATTTTTATCAGCAAATAATATGATATAGAGGTCTAAGAATAATAAAAGTAGCAATACTCATATGACATCAAATGTGAGGCGCTATTGATGAAGAGAGGGTAGAACAAAGAGAAGTTATTTTGAGCAGTATTAAACCTTTCGGGAGTGAAGAAGAAGGGACTTTGGTCAGGATATGAAGATGACTTCTTGTCATGTCTTGAGAGCTTGCTAGAAATTAGGCCTGCTTCAGCCAAGCCTGGAAATAATTGGCAGTCACAGATAGCAACTTCAAAGTATTTAACATAGGTAAAAGCAGATCTCGGAGAAGAAAATGGATGATTCTGAAGCTCTACCTTGTATGGAAGGGAAGTCTGGATCATCAAGCGTAATATCATCAAAGGCAAGTTCAGTAACATTCTCAATGTACATTGCAGAGTAAACCTTTGAGGCATTGGTTCTGCAAAAAAAAATTCAAAAGCCCCCGCTATTCCTCATTGGTAATTACTTTATTTTCAAGTGGTAAAAAGCA